CATATGGTCTAAAACCTGCAGGTGGGCAAATCTAAGCTTGTTTTTAATAAAACAAATATAAATATGCATATAATAAATAATATTGCTATTAATAATAACATTATACAAAAGCAAATTGTCATAAATAAACTAAAAAAGCCCCCTGAGATGAAGAAGGCATAAAAGCAGCGGTTTTTCATATTTATGTAGGCTAGAAAATAATGTTTTGTAATATTTTAATCTTTTATATTTATATCCTATAACTATTCTTATTATATCCAATATATATCCTTAATATATATATATTTTTTATATGTATTTAATCTTGTGTTAAGCACTGTGTAAGCGAGGCGCAACTCTGTGCCCAACTTTAGACCGGGTTTGTTTTGGTCTATTGAAAATCTATTATAGTTTCTCAAAATAGCAACGCGCCAACAAAGCGCCTCAGAACGCCTTCCTTTTTAGACCAGAACGCCTATGGGCGCACATATGAGCTCAAATGCATTTGCTATTTAAACAGCGTAGCGCAACGCCTCAAAACTACTCTTGCGCCAAGCTGAAACTAGCAAAAGACTATTGCGCCGAGCCTTGCGCCACATTGTGCCGGGTGTATAATAGGGCCCTTTGTCTTTTATCAGTGGAGTTTTTTACTATTCAGACACATTGCATATCTGTGCTGCTGTGTTCGCCTATGTTTAAATTCCTCCAGATTGCCAGCTGGGTTAATGGTTGGAATATACAGGGCAAAAGACCTGCTGCCCAACTACCCAATGATTCAGGAGGAGAAAAGTCCTCCTCATTTATAGTGTTTACATGATTATCTTATAATGATATAACAAATTGTGGTTGTGTGCATGTGAAATTACGAATAACAGCAGGGCATGAAATTACTCTTTATTTCTTTGCATTTTAACTTTGTAAGCTGTAAAATTGTTCGTCTCCTCATGGTTTGTGGTTCATTTTGTGAGCAAACAGACAACAGTTATTCCCTTCCCTTTTTTCACCGGCTCTGCCAGCCACACTCACTCCTCCCTCTGCTCGCAGCGCTGCATGACCATCATGACCATCTTTTGAAAAGATTCTGAGGTAAACATTAACCGAAAGGGCGGTTTATCCCTTTAAAAATAAATAAGTATCAAAAAATCTAACTATTGCATGATCAGTATTGTTTTGTGAACATGAAACACCACAAGGGCTTGAAGTATCAATATTAAATAGTGATGCAGTCGCCCCTTAAGCTCCCAGCATATTATGTAAGACCTCATATTCGTGTAATTCCACATAAAACCAAGAACCAGGAATCAAAAGTGAAACTCGGGGCATGACCCAATTTAAAAGGTCTTCCTCAGCTGTAAAAAGCCTCTCTCATGTGTAATGGATGAAAAGTCTTTTCCCGAACGAACGCTGAGGTGAGAGGAATGCAGAAGAAGAGAGAGGCTGTTTAAAGGAGCTTCCCTGGCAGTCAGGGCCGATTAGTCTCTGTACATACACCGCACTCTTTATCTCGCTCATCTTCCTCGCTCTCCCTCTTACCCTCACTTGCGCTTGCTTTTTATTCTGTCTGCTCACTTTGTTTCCCCTGACAGTGGACCTTGGAATCAGCTCTCCACATACACTATAAAGTATCCTCCACTAATATCGGCACCCTTGGTGATTATTTAAACAAAAAGCTTTAAAAACTCTGCTTTCATGTAAAATAAACAATTGCAAAACCAGCAAAGATTTATGAAAAATAATTACATTATATTTGTCAATTATATTTATGCACAAATATTGGTACTCATATGAGTTCATATGGGCAACATTTTTGAGCAAAAAGTATATTCCCACTGACATTTTACTGACATTAACTGGGTGATAAGGAAACAGGAAGTTGTTCACAGGTATAAATATAAGGTCAAACTCACTCCTCATTTGTCAAAACCAAAGAAAACAGCTGGATTATATACAAAAGGCCTGGATCACAAAACCTTAAGTTGTATGCGGATAGCCAACATTTCATTGTCAAAATGATTCATTTCGCTATTAAGCCAAAAATCTTGAGAGTATAATGTACAGATCACATTCCGTGAAGATATTGTGTACATTTCCTAGCATCAATATATCAAAACTTAATTTTTGATGAGTGATATGTACTAGGGCTGCTCGATTACGAGAAAAATCATAATCACGATTATTTTGGTCATAATTGTAACCACGATTATTCAAAACGATTATCAGTCGAAGTCAAAATTATTAGCGCTCCTGAGAACATATTTTTTTAAATAAATATTTCCCAAATGATGTTTAACAGAGCAAGGATTTTTAACACTATTTGCTCTAATATTTTTTCTCCTGGAGAAAGGCTTATCTCTACAAAGCATGAAAAAGATGCTCATAACCTCACCTTACTGCTGAAAAATGTGGCTCTCATTGAAAACAACTAAAAAATACACTTGCCCCAGGTAAAAATACTTCAGTGAACATGTGCCCAAAGGATGCCAATATTAGTGGAGGGCACTATGTGAACAGCAAGACAGAATGACAGAGAAGGCAAAGAGAGAAAATGCCCTTGAGAGTGTGGAGTATGTGTGTGAGAAAAAATGAACAGTATTTCCAACATCCATGTGCTTCAACCAGGCAAAACGTCTTTATCAGCAATTATGTTGTTCGCAAAAATTGTCCCCCTGGATCCAAATGTATTGTGCCAATCAAAATCCAGAATCTAATTATGAAAGTGAAGCACACAGCTCTCAAGGGTGGGTTGGCAAAAGTGGGCCACTTCCCACAAGGTCGGTGGTTTGATCCCTTGTAAAATCCTATACTACTGTGCCTACAAAAAGCTGTGAGGGTTTGAGAAATGCATCGTAATGCTACATGTGCTTTTGGTCACAATTAAAGAAGCTATTTTGTAAAAGAAAAACAAAGGCTACAGATTAAAATCCAGATTAAATCAAATCAAGAAGATTTCACTAAAATTAAACGAAAATGCTGACCAACAGTCAACTGAAAGAATGGCTTCTCTAGATAAATTCTTAATTATTTCCTGTAATGGTGGAAATGGGCATTTTCTGTGTTTCTGCTATTTTCTCACAGGAACTTTCCATTTTGTAAATCTCAACAACCTTTTGCCGCAGAATAAAACTCAGTTCTTTGGTTTTACCCATTGTGATGAATGAGTTTGGCCTGTGTGTTTCCTCATACGTTTCCTCATATTTATAGCCCTGAGAAACAGCAGGTATGGGTTGAGCAATTTCCTCTCCCTGGTAACCCAGGTGTACTCAAAAAACGTCAAAAATCAATGCAATACACAACTGTTTTGGGCTCATGGTGCCAGTAATTGAAAAACTGTGCACACTAGGGATGTGCGATAAAATGAAAAATCAATGGAAAAATACTGGATTCACATTATATTTCAATTTGGTAAACGAAAATACATCATTTTATTTAGGATAAACTGAAACAACATAATTCTGGATATTTTTTTGGGAACCTTTTTTTATTTAATTCACTTAAATATGTTACATTAACTTAATGGATTTGTGTTAGGACAACATGAATGAATTAAGTGAAACCCTGCATTACAGTGTACTGTGCACATTAAAATTCAGTGCTTCACAACAGAACAATGCAATGGATCCTTGACTAAGTAAAACTTAATAAGCGTACTCGAAACTAGTATATAAGGACAGTATTAGAAATAAAACTGGCATTATTTTGAGTATGAAACAGATATAATAGTGAATTAACTGATAGTTTTAACCCTTAACCTGTGTTAGAATTTAATAGGTAAGCTGACTTAACAGTGATAGAGAAATTATCAATCTATTTCTAACGAGATGATAAACTAAAAGGAATGTTACCAATAGTGTTTTAAACACGTACCTAACAAACTTTCATCTAAATGTAACATTTTTGTTACAGTTGAAGCACAGATATTAATTAATGAAAAACAAATAATAAATCAAATGCTATTAGTTTATTTTTAAAGTAAGTTTTTAATTAGTTTATATTTGTTGCCTATGGTATCATTGTAGTATAGATACAAACCAGGCTCATTATAGATTCGCACCCCTATATAAATTACTGGAGATCACGAAATAGGTCCAAGGAGGTACGTTTTCTTGCAGTTTCTCTATCTCAAAATTCTCTCGCAAGTGCCATTTGTGCCAGCTGTTCTCACGTAAATCCACCAGAGGCCGCTGTTGACTGACTGACTGACCGATACAAACACCCACCCCCTTCCCTAAACCCAACCAACAGTGTTTTCAAAAGCAATCCAGAAAAACAAAAGTAGTTTACCAGGTTTTCAGATCTTACCACGTTCTCACCCTGTTATTTACTTATTTATTTTATTTTTTGCTTTTGTTTTACCTGCTTTCTGTAACCGTTCTTCACCAGACTCATCATTGCAGTCAACTCCTCTCTGTGTCTCAAGTTTGCTGACATACTGTACATGGCGAGCTACTGGGCAAACTGGTAACAGTAGAAAAGCCGTCCACACGGAGGTAAGTAAGTTTAAATACAAAATGCAGCCATGGTAGCTCTGGCTACATAATTTGCGCTCTACAGAAATGTATACGGGGTGAGCATTAACAATGTCTTTGTTGCATAGATAGCAATGTATTGCATTCATGTATCGCACCGAATCCAGAATTATGGTATCGAGCCGTCCCTAGTGCACACATATGTTTAACACTGCTATTTGGCTTTTGATAAATGTCAGTTTTCAATATTTTGCTCTCGACAGAAGCAAAGTCTTCTGTTAATATTTGGATCAAAAAATCTGAATTTTAAGCAACAGGGCTTTTTTTTGCTTAATTTTTCACCATTATGGCCAAAATAGTTTGCAGTTTATCAATCCCAACAATCTCCAATTTCTTAGTACCTGTAGGCCCCTAAAACCATTCCACCCCATTAGCTGCGGCCCCAAATGAATCACAAGTCAAAAAGCTGCATATGGTGTAAGACTAACAGTAAAATCTCCCATAAGAGTCTGATACGACACCCAGCATGCGACGTGAACAAGTAAAGGCTCTCACCAGAGTTTGACATGACTGGCTCTTTTTCTTCACCTCCTCCTCAAGGACTTCACACTCCTTCCTCTTCCTGCTGATCTCAGTCTCCTGAGGGAAGAAAGAAAATAAATACTGTTAGATGGATAGATGCATTCAATTTGCTGTTATGGATGTGGCCCTGATGCAGGCTCTATCTAGGGAGGCTGTCTGCGGTATAACACACAATCTGTGTATGTATGCATGTGTATGTGTCCGCGTGTAGGTAATAGTAGCACATTCTCCAAGCCAGTGGGCACCCGTATACATCATCTGACTATAAATAGCATCCATTCGCTATAGCACAAATGTTGCGAAACCACCAAGCCTGAAAGTCACTAAAAATACAAGCCCACTAAAAGAAAAATGAAACATGTGCACGGTTTTAATGCACATGCTATATATATATATATATATATATATATATATATATATATATATATATATATATATATATATATATATACACACAGTTAACGCCAGAATTATTAGCCCCCCTGTTTATTTTTCCCCCAATTTCTGTTTAACGAAGAGAAGATTATTTTAAACACATTTTTAAACATAATAGTTTTAATAACTCATATCTAATAACTGATTTATTTTGGCTTGGCCATGAAAACAGTAAATAACATTAGATTAGTTGTTTTTTTTTTCAAGACACTTCTATACAGCTTAAAGTGATATTTAAAGGCTTAACTAGGTTAATTAGGCAAGTTATTGTGTAACGATGGTTTGTTCTGTTGACTATCAGAAAAAAAATAGCTTAAAGGGGCAAATAATTTTGATCTTAAAATGGTTCCTAAAAAATTAAAAACATCTTTTATTCTAGCCGAAATAAAACAAATAAGACCTTTTCCAGAAGAAAAAATATTATCAGACATACTGTGAAAAGTTCCTTGTTCTGTTAAACATCATTTGGGAAATATTTAAAAGAGAAATTCAAAGGGGATATTCATGAAAAAATGCACATGCTCAATGTAAAAACCAAAAACATGCTTATATTTGCTTATATTATATATGTCTCTAAAAACATTTAGATAAAATAAACAATGATTTCAAGAACCCAAAATTAATTATTATGTCCATTCATAGTTCACTATATTTATCTATTATTTAGATACCACTTAAAACATTTTTGATCAAATTGATACTAAATGAATGCAAGATTCGGTCTAGGTATTTTGGAAATACATATGTAACTAAGAAAATCCGTAAATAATTTGAACTTTCAATTTTTGTATTTTTTTATAAACTTATAAATACAAAATGGCACTGGAAAAAAACACCAGTTTCACCAAGATGCTGAAGTTTTGATGAAGTACAGCAAACATATTCATGACTTCATTTTTTAGAATGCAGCGTAGGTCTACTTAAACCACTTAAACTCTGCTGCTATTTGGGGATTTCCGCCTGGATTTTGCCTACCTAAATTTAAAAGCTTCCCAAATCCACATGCAGAGGTGTAAATGCAAAAATTTGGTATCATTTTAAAGAAAACCCTTTGAATTTTCATAAAACACTATTGAAAGTGTTTAAAATAACTGTATATGTTGTCTGTGTTATAATAAACACCTAAAAAAGAGGCGCTTTTTGTATATATATTTTTTTTATAAACTCAAATTTGAAAGTGTACCTTTTAGGTTCTGTGTGGTCTAGCGTGCTGTAATTAATTTTGGTGGTTCCTGCACATGTCTGCAATCATAGGAAAAAAGAAAAAGGTCTCTACCATAATCTATGCAAAAGTTATTGCATTCCAACTGATGAGAGGTGCTGTACAAGCCACAGAGACCGATCCTTGTTTTCATATTTCACTATTCTTTTGTTTGATCAAACATAATTCACTGTGTTTGGACCACATCAGACATATAAAAGGATTTCTTATGCACATAACCTCAAAAACAGAGGAGAATAGCCCTGAAGGGCACAGCATAAGGTAAGAGATGACAGCTGTCTGTGCTATCTGGGGCTGCTTATTGATCATGAATGTATTGTTTACATTTCTGCGCCATGGAAACACCACAATTCATCCAACAACTTTTTAATGAATATAATTCAGTAAAAAGAATGCTAGAACTGTATGAGCACGGGCAACAGCTTTCATTTGAGCTATAACTTGTACATGTGTCATATAAAAAAATATGAAAATGAACCAATGTAAAATACCTAGCTCGGGTATCCAAAATACTGTGTATTTAAGTGTAAATAACTTTTATATAGTAGAAAAAAAACCAAAGTGATGCATATGAGCATAAAATATAGATTCTACACTTTCAAACGACACCACTTACGGGGGTCTGGTGCAAAGCTAGCCCTTTAAATCTGAAAGCGAAAGTCGATGACGTCACGGACCGGGTCCGCAGAGTTTAAGTGTACAGTTTTTACCATTAAAATCTTTTTACATTAAATGTGTGTTTTATTTATCAAAAGAATACTAAATATGTACCATTTAAACATTATTTGTAATGCGATTTGGTATTACACGCATACAATATACAGTTGAGGGGCAAATTATTAACCCTCCTGTGAATAAAAGCAATTTTTTATTATTTAAGGTCAATATTATTATCCCCCTTAAGCATTTTTTTCTTAGATAGGCTACAGAACAAACCATCATTATACAATACAATGACTTGCTTACACTGTATAAAATAATATATGATCAATTAGTCAAGACAGCATATGTTTTTAGTTCATTTAATTTATTAAACTAAGTTAATCATGTTCTAGTCAGTTTAACATAATATAAGTTTAATGGACTCATAAGGTGAATTCGATTCAGCTTAAAAATTTAGGGCAACCTTTTTACAGTGTAATTACCCTAACTTGCCGAGTTAACCTATTAAGCCTTTAAATTGTACTTTATGCTAAATAATTAACATATCAGTAAGAGAAAAATTTAAATATATAGTAAAATATTATGTACTGTCATCATGGCAAAAAATGTAAGAAAAAAATGTATTAAAATAATTATCAGAACTATTATGTTTAACAGAAATTGTAGAAAAAATATAAAAGATTAATATTTAACAGGAGGGACTTCCACATATACATAAAAATGAATGGGTTTATTGCATTTACCATATACTTTAAATATTAGCAAAGCTAAGTGCTTAAATATTTCCCTCATTAACTATTTTGATGTTATAAAATATAATTAAATAAATAAATCAATTAATAAAGTTATATCTAGAAGGTCAGATAGTCATCTCAATCTCACAATAGGGATATCAGTATATATGGTATAAGAGTGAGTGAGTGTGTGAGTGTTTATGTGTGGTATTAGTAATTGGGAACATCCATCATGCTGACTGACACCTGGGATGAGAGATAGAAAAGCCAATTTAATAATAAACGAATATCCATGACGATGAATGGATTGATTAATGCATGGATTAATGGATGAAAAACCCTGTGTTAGAGAGATCCAAGATATTAAATCCCTACTGGCTCAACACACACATACTGTAGACGTAAAAACAAAACAAACAAACAAAAAGAACATAATAATAATATAAAATATTTAAGATGTAAAAAGCTATGTTAATTAGCACATGGCCCTTTCCACTGTAGCACATCTTAATGCAGGGAAGACTTCTGATCTAAATATATCCTCTGTATAGTATTTCCTGAATTCTAATTCATATGGATGAAGCTGCCAGTGTGGGCCAAAGATTTCATTCTCTCCAAATATAATCCTTTCTGTTAGAAACCGTAAAAATGATTTATGGGACATCATTTTAAATTTGGCTTGAGGTTCAGGTCATCTCCCTACATACAGATTACATTTCTCTGCAACCCAACAAAAAAGCACCTTCCAGACAGCCTCCATAACTTTTGTTATGATTGAAAATTAGGGTTTTTCCGCCAAAACAGTACTATTCTGAAGTTAAACATTGGCATTGTGTTGTCTAAAAATACATATTGTCTGAGCAACTTGGAAAACGTTTGTTCTTTCGTTCGTTCATTCGCTCATTTATTCAATCATTCATTTTCTTTTCGGCTTTCCATTTATTTCCCTTTACTTATCAGGGGTCACCACAGCGGAATGAAACCCCAACTTTTCCAAAATATGTTTTACGCAGCGGATGCACTTCCAGCTGCAACCCAACACTGGGAAACACCCACGCAAACACGGGGAGAACATATGTCTGAAAACGTGGCACCTTTATTTGCTATTTTATGCATAGGCAACATTTATTTATATAGAGGTCATGAACATATAGAGTAATTATAAAGCGTACATCTAAAACTGAAAAATGGTGTCCTACTTTTACCCATAGCTATGTGTGTATAAATATACAGTATGTACTGTATATCTTTGTTTTTGTGTGTTGCCCTGCTGTGCATTGAGACCAAATGTTCCCACAACAGCAATACCAGTAATCTTTGATCTTGCAGGGGCATTTTTGGTCCCCAAAAGGCCCACAAATAATACAGAACTATTGTGCAAAATAGTGTGCAAAGCATTGTGTAAAACAGTAGCATGTTTTCTGTTAGGGTTGGGTTAAGGGGAATGTCTGAGGCAAGGGTATAGATTATACACTCTGTATAAAAATCATTAAATCTATATCACTAAAATAAAAATTAGTCAAAGATGGTTCCTTGGATTTACTCAATTTATTTACGTCAAGTGGTTGTAAACAATTTATTTGGGCTGAATTTAAACAAACAAATTAAGGTTTACATTTTATTTGTTTGTTTATATTCAACCCATATAAATTATTTGTAACAATTTTGCAGAAACATTTTTTTTCAGTATAGGAAGTCCTAACAAAACATACAAACCCCAATGTACACGCAGTATGTGTTATACAGGCTTCCGTTCCCACCTTAAGTCATTTTAAGACTTTCCCTGGCTTTTTCTAGCTATGATTCTATTAAAAAATGTAGATTAACTTAATGCGCAAAACAGGAATATCGCATAAAAGACGTGTGAATAAAGCAGCATTTCCTTCCAACGAGTCAAAGAGAACAAAATCTCCACATGCTGATTAACTGGCACCAAATACATAGACTGTAAAATATATGGATGTAGTATCCTTGACATCACCCATTGGTATCTGAACACTGCA